CATGTCTTCAACAGAGAGGGCTCTCCTGCTAATAGTATAAAAACTTAAAAGGTGACAAGCTGCTGCTGCCATGCATCAATATTCAGGACGGACGGACGGAGACAGCAGTGAGCATGTTTATTTCAGCACTTTGTTTCTGTCACAAAACTTAAGTCTTAAGTCTTAATTCTAAAATGTAACAGTTTGCCTTGTGGAGACCTGTTTGTCCCCACACTGCAGGGGAGTCCCCGTAATGTCAGTGTGTGAAGAAGTTTATGGTCCCCACATGTAGATGTACAGACCTCTTTTTGGTCGGACTCATGACTGTTGCTGCATCTTTCCCCTGCAGAACAGTTAATTTACAGGATTTCCCTTTCTTGGATGATGCTACTGACAGATTGTAGCCTGATAGGACAGGAGGTGTGACTGGAGGTTTGTTAGAATTTTTTATCTTGAATTCAGGTGTCTGAATTTAACCAGTGAATTGATACAAGGGTATATTTGAACTGACCTGAATTTTTAGATCTGAATTTGAATTATTGTATTTGAGATAATTATTGGATGTATTTCAACATAAAGTATTAGTGGATAAATTTCACAATTAGGTATTCGGTTAAAATTTTCGCATATGCCTTTAACTGTTTTCTTACATTTAGGATGTACTGTAGTATGGAATTGGCACACAGCTTATTTTCCACCTGTTGCATGCAGCAAGTTTCCCACTTTAACAAATCACCTGATAGCTACCAGTTTATTTAAACTAATGCTATCTAATACAACAGTTCTGCAATAAATTCTACCTTCATGAAGGTTTATAATGCTCAGTTTTTGTTAAAAACTGTTTTAGAGAGGTGTTGATTCAGCTGTGATCATTTTGGAGGCTGCAGTTTGTGGTGCTGTTGATCTGTGTTGCATTATTACTCTAATATAAATAGGGTGGGCAAAATAGTATAAACGCCGTGCCAAAAGTTGAGGAGGGAGTAAAAGAATATGCAGAATAAGAGGGTCCCAGATGTGCATGGACCCCCTACAAAATGCATCTCCCATTAGGGTGTCAAACACAGGGGACGAGTGATATGGACTGATCTGAAAGAAGCCCGCTGCTGACTTCCTCAGCTAGTTTTGAGCTTGTTGCAGAAGGCATACTGTTCTAATGGTGTCTGCTGCATTAATGTTGTATGTGCAAAGAAAATGTGTTTATTTATGAGCTGGACACTGCTAATTACCCGAATGCATGGATAATTATCTCCAACTTCAAACACATTTTAACCCCCAGAGACACAGACAGTCAGCTTAGCTGTATGATGAGCTCAGGACACCCAAAATATCTGCTGCTAATTAGAATAAAATGATGAGTCATCAGCAGAATTTTCACGGATATTCATAAGATACATGACGTGAAAACTGGACCTGCAGGGATACTGAACACCAACAGCAACCACATATTTTAGCTCAATCAATAGGGTGGTGCAAAAGAGACAACAGAGTGTGACTTGTAAGCAGTGGTCTAGTGCACTTATTTTTCAGTTGGCATTTTCCTGGGATGGCAAGGCATGACATAGTATATGTATAATTATGTAGTTGTCTCACTCGTCTGTTGGTCAGTATTGATTCTTCTGTGGATAAAGTTCATTTTATAATGATCCAAACTCCCTGAAGTACCCCCTGAGTATTATTACATGTCACTGTTTATAACACAGTGCCTTTATCCTTTGCTGGATGGGCCGCTTTAAACGAAAATGTAGGGCATAAATTAAGAGTATTCCCACTTCTCCAGGCACCGCTACACCACTGCTTCTAATATGCCACAACCATCAGCCATCCATCCTTTTTCTGAGGCTTATCCAGTTTTTGCGGTTGCAGCCCACTGTGTCATTCAGTCAAGGTTTGTGGGTGGATCCAGCACCCTGCTCTCAAAATTTGAATCCTCAGCTAGGTGGTTTCCATCCAAATTTAGCACAATTTTTAATCAACAAAAGAGAAAGTCAATTAAACTAAATGCAAATTAATGTTTCCACCCACTAGTGTTGTGTTATGAATATTAGGAGTTTGTTCATTAAGATAAACAGTGGGAAGCGCTAATACTCAATCAGGTGCCTTGTATTAATAAGAAAAACAAGGAAACAAGTAGAATAAAACTACAGCAAAAAGAGAGATCACATGTGGCTTTTTCTGCAATCTTCTAACAGTGGCCTTCCACTGTGCTTGCTGTTGATATATCTCTAAAGGGGGGCGTCCTGGATAGTTCTCGCCAGCCCCAGTGGCCTAGAGTTTGTCTGAGGGGGGCTCACAGTGTCAGACTTTGAAAACCCAAGATTTAGATAATTTGTTTTCACTTTTGGTTCTCTCTGTCTTTGGTTCAAATCTGGTTTGGAATCTTTGTTGAACGTCAATCCCATCTCTTTCCTCGTGTCCTGTCATTACCTTATTGTTTGCTGTCAAATAAAAGGATACGTTAAAAAGTGCGATATACAGTACCATGTTACAACAATCTTGATGTTTAGTTGTTCATGTCCCACTGAGCTGTAACTGTTGTGTGACTGCAGTGTTTTTCATTTGTACCATCAGCTGTTTTAGACGGAACAACAGCTCCACCTTGTGGTCAGTTAATGATATACAGGAAAGTTGATAAACGTATACATTTGCCATGGCTGCTTTATGTTGATTTTTAAGTATTAACATCTTAGGGCCATTTTAAAATAAAATGTTTTCTTAAAATCACACTCAGTTTATTTCTATTTATTTGTTTTATTATATTATTTTTCAGGCTTATTTTCACCTGGAAAAAGCTTTTGTCTCTTCTGTGAGGATTGACACTTGTACAGCTACAGTCTACTGTTTTTAGTTTACAAGAGCATAATGTGTTTTTTAGTATGTTATAATTATGCCTGTGCATATGACATGTCGACAAGCAGCATGTTGCACGATGATCATAGAAATATGTAAAACTGAAAAATAAAAACAAAATAATTAACAAAACTATTCAATAATAAAAAATAAAACCAAAAAAAGAAAGAAATCAAGACGATTTTAAAAGACAGAATAAAACAAAACCAGGGTTATAAAAATAAACAAATAAAATATGAAAAAAATAATTCAAAAAGTCGACATGAACTCAAAATAATTAAAACTAACAAAACAAAAACAGATATAGGTAATCCAAGAAACAGAACAATAAAATAAAAATAATGAAATAAAAAAAAATACAAATGTGTAATAAAACATTTTTAAAATGACAAATGTAGAGTGTTTAAAATTTAGGAGGATCTACTGGCAGAAGTGAATATAATATTTATAGGTTGAGTATAATCAATACTCAACCTATATAATAATATCTGCATAAAGGAATCTTTTTTTTTACCCTATGAGCTGTCTTATAGTACTAATAAAAACAGGACACATTCAATCAGTGATTCAATAACATATTTTAATTTTTCAGTGTTTTTAGTATAAAAATCCCACCGGCCGGTCGGCTGGTTTCCACTCCCGTTGGCTATAACTGTGGTTTTTCCCAGAGAATCAGCTAAAGTACCAAATCTATTTACACACAACATCCACATCCAGAGGGGCCAAACAAAACAGGAAGTCTACCCATTGCTACCCTGCCAAAAATAACACATCAAACACTATCACCTCACCTCTCAGATTTAATGCTATTAATCCAAAAAATAAAAAAATCACAAACAACAGGAAGAGGAAGGGCCATCTACATATGGACTTCCTCGTCGTGGCCGTAGTTTTTCTTACATACTCTCTCTATTAAAGTAAATGGCCATATACATTTTTCCATTTTACAATAAATTAGTACAGGCACATTTCCTTTCTCTCCTACACTGATGTAGTTCAGGCTTCAGTTCAGTTCAGGTGGAAAAGATGATTCTGTGGACATTTTTACAGAAGGACTTGAAACTCATCACAGCACACAAACAAAAAAAGGGGCCTGGAAAAACCTTGAGAAAATGCCAACTAACTGGTAAAAAAAAGAAGAAAAAAAAAAAGAAAAAAAAAAAGAAAAAAAAACATTAGTGGGCAGACTGTGGGCAGCAGATTTTTTTGGTTTTCGGGCTGAATTGATGCCACTTTAGGCATTTTTAAACTTTTGATGCAATTATATAGATTTTATATAAATATGTACAAACAAAAAAGTAGTCCAGTAAAACATTCAGGCTAAAAAAAAAAAAAAAGATGCAAACACACAAACAAAAACAAAAAAATTAATGCCAAAGACGAGAGAACTTGAAGCTTGAGAACTCAATAACTTACAAAAACCGTAAAAAAGGAGCTGAAATAAAAATGTTCATTACAGTATGCATGTTTATTTTTTCTCTCTGTAGAGATAGCACCAGCAGAAAGACCGACACCATCAGTGCCGGCGACGACGTGGATCATCACCTCCAACGGTATAAATATCTGAACACCATGTACCAAAACCAACTGAGGGAGTGAATAAATTAGTGTCAGGCCTTGTACAGGATATTTACAGGAGCTGCTGCAGTCACACGCACACCGATGGACATTTTTCGTGTTAGTGAGACTGTTGCAGCAGTCTTGCAGCACATTTAAGGAGGTCAGAGGTCAAAACTCTGACACATTCAACAGGTTTAGACCCATGATTTTTCGGTCCTCACAGCCAAAGTTAGATTTTTTTTTCTTTCAACTTTTTGCACCCGCTAACCGAGTCGTTTTTGTTGCATAGCTCTTTGACAAAACAAGATGGCCGTCACAAGCTACAGTATTTCGGACAGGGGGGACAGATGTGTGGGGAGATGATGCGTTTCCAGTTTGAGGAAATGGTAAACATAAGTGTGTGTGTGTGTTTGTTTGTTTGTTGTGCGTATGAGGCAGAAACTGAGCGTCTCTGCTGTGACGGTGTTCAAAACAACAAGCTGAAAAGACAAAAGGGAAGAGATGAATGATGGAAGGATTTCAAAAGGTGGTGGAGGTTGGAGTAGGGTTTGGAGGGGGGGTGGAGGGGGGTGGGGTTCAGTCCGTGACAGTGAGGCTGGTGCTCGGTTCCAGCTCGCCACTGACACGGTTCAGGTGGTTCATGGCTCGGTCGAATGCGAGCCGCACAGCTTTTCGGATGCAGGAGGAGCGAGCCTCCGTCAGCTTGATTTTGTCGAGCATCTGGTTGATCCCAAAGGGAGCCATCTTGGATCTAGGAAGCCATTGCCTGCGGAGAGAGAAGACAGAAGTCAGTGTGTGACTGGATGGACCAAACGTTTGTTTTCTGCTGACCTTCTCACATCCTCATTACCAACACCAACACCACCACCACCATCATCATTATAATAGAAAGAGAGCTTTGGACATGTCAATACAACACTTAGTCAGAAGTTTAAATAAACTTTAAATAAATGCTTTGACAAATTTCAATGGGGGAATCTCTAGGAGGTGTCACGCCTACCAGAGAAAGTTTATTCTAGTGTAGTTGAACAATGCAGATTTGGTCCTGGCCGTGGACGAGTTCTTTACTCTTGCAGGGATGCTTGGGTGGTCATGGGAGTTTGACCATCCAAGATACAGGTGTTTTGTAGACTTGCAGAAGGCTTTAGACTGTGTCCCCTGGGGAGTCCTGTGGGAGTATGGAGTACCAGGGTTATTGCTACGAGGCATCTAGTCATTGATTAACCAAAGTGAGAGCCGGGTCCGTATTCTGGCACAAATTCCACCAAGGTCGCCCTTTCTCTCCCGTCCTGTTTGTGATTATCACAACAGGATTCCAAGGCACAGTAAGGAGTAAGGTGAGTTTGCAGCAGAGTGTGAGCAGCACCTCCAAGTCTGACGCCATGGTTCTCTGCCAGAATAAAGTGGATTGCTTCCTTTAGGTTGGGAGCGATTTGCTGCACCAACAGAAGCAGTTTAAGTATCTTGGGGTAAAATGGAGCATGAGGTGAAGAGGCAGCATCAGCAGTGACGCAGACATTGTACCGGACCGTCCAACAGTGAAGTGGGAGCTGATCTGGAAGGCAAAACTTTTGATTTACCAGTTGATCTCGGTCCAATCTTCACCTATGGCCATGAGCTTTGGGTAGTGACCGAAAGAACAAGATTGTGCATATAACGGCCGAAATTAGTTTCCTCCGTAGGGTGGCAGGTCTCAGCTGTAGAGATAGGGTGAGAAGCTCACACAACTGGAGGGAGACTATTCCTACGTGTAGAATGAAGTCAGCTAAGGTGGTTTAGGCATCTGATTAGGACACCTTCCTGTGGAGGTTTTCTGAGTGCAAACAACTGGGAGGAGAACCACAGTGTGGATCCATAACTCACTAGAAGAATTAGAAATCAATCTGGCCTGGGAACGCATTAAGATCCTCCAGGAGGAGCTGGAAGACATTGCTGGGGAGGGAGATGGACGTCTTTAGTGCCCCACTTGACCGGTTGCCACAACGACCCGACCCCAAATAAGCGGATGATAATAGATGGATGGGATGTTCAATTCCACGGCCATCACTGTACTGAGACTTATTAACGTCCAAATTAAATTCACATTAACACTTTTTTTGCACAACTATCTGTCCCTGTTGTTTTTAACTGAGCTGATTGCATCTTATAATTTAACTGGTTTCAATACTGTGTGTGCTGGGAAGTCGTACTGCGAGGAAACCATATGGAAAGAATATTTACATTGTAAACTCAACTTAAATAGAGGAATGGACACAATGTCAATGAGTTCTTACTGTGTGTGAGACTGTGTCTATATTTAATGTTGGTGGTATCCAACAGTCAACAGTCCCCTGTCGGTTCTAAATGCTCTGTGGTTTATGAAGTTCCCCATTCTGCATCACACTGAGAACCACGGCGGAAATACACATTAAACAGTTCTTCCATTAACAACAAGAGCTTCTGAAAAACGGATACGACACATGTAAAAGCTGTAGAAACTCCCCAGTCAGTCACTATCAGTTGACACAAGTGGTGGGTGAATAAAATGTGCTTTGTGATCAACTGCATTACCTTATTTGCTTAGATAGCTTCAAAGACTCAATCGGTGCATGTGTGTGGGTTCTGTGTTATTTTCTCCAATCATTATTTTCTTATTTATTTGGTGATGCAGATGGTTGTTTTGACTGATAAACTAGTTGAACTAATATTACATGATGATGTGCTGGTCTTTGGGCAGTTTGTAGACTTTATACATAGATTCATAGATCATACATGTGCTGTTGGCACCCCTAAAAAATATATTTGGCTTCCAAACCTGCCGAGCACCATAAGACCAAGCTTTACACAGCTGTAAGAACTCAGTCAGGCAATTTGTTGGGTGTTTTCTTGGATCTAAATATTGCATAAACTCAATCACAGCCTTTTATCTTCTTAAAAACATAGCTTTAGCAAGAGGACTTGTGTCAAAGCAGGATCTTGAAAAGCTGATCAATGCAATCAGCTCAAGCTGTATTTTTGTCAGATCTATCAAACGTAGTGTCTAAAATGCAGATCCAGAGTTTTAATGTAGACAAAATATTAATACACTTACACCCCTGTTTTACTGATTTTTTTATCCCCACTTTTTTACTCCTCTTTTTTTAGAGTGAGTTGGTGAGTTTCTCACCAGCTGCGCTTGCTGTCGAAGAAGTGGACGAGGAAGAGTTTCTCTGCGGACCTGAACTGCATCCGCTCTCCGATTCTGAGAACGTCCTGCGGCGGCTGGGGAAGCTCCACCCCGTTGCGCTGACACACTGTCCTCCGCGCTCTGGGGTCCATGATCTGTGAAGCCCAAAAAACACAGGGATGGAGACTGAGTGAAGTGGCCTCCTGACGATAACAGTGTGGAGAATATCCTGTTGGCAGTGGCCGCACAGAAGAAGCCCGCACTCAGAGACACAAGCATGCAAGCTGAGTCGAGCCAAAAACGCTCTGAGCGAAGCGGCCGACTCCACACACACCAAGCAGTCCATGATCGGCCAGCTGGAAGCTCCCGCATGACTGTGAGCACAAATCACGAGCTACAGCACGGACAATGGCAGAGGAGCAGATGGGTAATGAGACACAGAGGGGACTAACACTCACTCACCAGGGCGGGGTAGGAGGGATATCCACTACATTTAGCCCAAACTAGTTTAAGAGGCTCCAGAACAAATGGAGAAGCAGCGGTGGGCTTCCACACCTCTACAGGAACAACAACAAGCAAGTTATGAAGTATTCAGTGCAACAGACAGAGCACAACCAGTCTGAACACGCAGCAGTGCATACAGAAGGGGAGCTGAACACACACACACACACACGTTTTTTAAAGATAACCTTCAAAAAACAGTGATTGGACATTTCTGTTGATTGTATGAGCCCATATTTCACTGAACCCACAGAGAAAATAACAGGCTTCACTTCACTTCCCTCTCGTCCATCAGGGCTTTCCTGTTTCTGGACTCTTTGTTCATTTATTTACCACTTCCTTCATGCCTTAAACCTGCAGCTTTGGGTCTGTGCTGACTTCATCCAGGAGCCTGGACCTCAGCTTGAGAATCAGTGACGTCGACTCCGTTAGTGTAGCATGGTGTGAGGAGCTGCTGGTTCGGTAAAATCCCATTTCAAGATTTTCTTTTTGAAGACTTTACATCAGAACACTCAAAATAATAATCCACTTCACTGCTATTTAGGTGACACTGGTGTAACAGTAGAGAAAGTGAAGGGAGAAAGAACTGAAAACTGTATGGTAGCACATAAACAGTATTAGTATATTACAAGGAAGGACTTTTAAAGGACCAGTGTGTAAGATTTAGTGGCATCTAGTGGTGAGGTTGCAGAATGCAGTCAACTGATAACCCCTCACCTCACGCCCCCCTTTCTGACGTGGTGGGTTCAGTACTTTAGCTTAGGAGTTAGCAATGGCTCCTCTCTCTATCTGTTGCTTGGTTTGTGCAAATTTTAGCTTCAACAACTATTCCTCTGGCTCCTTTAGTGATTATGGTACATGTAATAAATGTAGTTTATATTCCATGCTCGATGCAAGGGCCCGTAACCTGGAGGCTGCAAAACTGCTCTAGTTATGGTTTTGTATTATTGAATTATTTCCAAATGGGGCTTTTCCATATCTGCCAGTACATCCTCCATGTTACACACTGGACCTTTAGTAAGTTTAGTAAATGTCCTCATCAGACAGAGAGAAGAGTTGACCTATCAAAGCGAGCCATGCTGTGTGTCTGTGCATGCATTCGTCAGATGACATTTATTGCAAACTCACCGGAAGAGATGTTGGCAGCTTTGGTGAACTCTCCGTTCTCTATGCAGGTCATCAGAGTGCTTTTGTCATCCACGGTGCTCCGTCGAGCCGCCGGTGGTCGCCCTTTACCACTTTTAGACACAATGACGGTGCTGAAAGAAACAAGGGAAAAGCTAGATAAAGAAAATGTTTAGATTTAGACACCTTGCAAACATTAGAAAGTTAAAACAGGAAATAACAACAACAACAAAAACTACACAGAGAACAAAAAACACATTTCAGGATTAAGTGCTTATGACAAGTGAGTTTTTAGCTGACTCTGTGTTTTATAATTAATTATGGGAAGGTGGTTCCAGAGGCTGGGAGCCACAGCTGCAAAGGCCCTGTCACCTTTGGTGTTAAGCCAAGATTTTGGGACTGCCAAAAGGCCTTGTTCAGTAGACCTCAGGGATCTCACCGAGGTCAGACGACACGATAATTCAGAAACATAACGTAGTGCCAGCCCATAATGTGCTTTATAGGTCATATGTTAAGTGGGTACATAGAGAGTAAAAAAAAAACACTTTGTATGCCACACTTATCCAAATAAGATCCAACAAAAACTGTGTTCTCAGTCAACTTCTTGGCTCTGGACGTTTCCTCCAGAACTCACCTCGTGCTGCAGAGGACGCTTCCGCTGGAGGAGATGCTTGACTCGGACGCACAGCGCCGGCGAGGCTCCAGCTGACGAGGTGACGGTGATATTTCCTCCTCCTCCACCACAAAACCGTTTGCTATTCCTGAAGAAACAAAAACACAGGGAACTTGTAGAAAGTGCAGTGTAGGGTTATGGGCTAAGCTACAACGGTACCGCTTGTATGTTCTGAGATTGTTATGTTTTCATTTTAAAACCAAAACATGACCACCGCACCTGTGCCAAGTCGTTTTATTGGCGACTCCTCATCCTCCTCCTCGCCTTCGGCACTGCTGCTGCGTGTTCTTTTCTTCGGCAGGAGGAGCGTCTCCAGTCGAGGGATCACCACTGACAGGAAGGTTTTGGCGCCCAGGGGCGGCTGCGGCGACACAGGAGATGTCTCTTGGGTCTTGGGTGGTTTCTGGGGGCTGGCACTCTTGGACTTGCGGAAGAGGCTGTTGGTCCGGCGGTTGCAGGGGCCAGAGGCTCCGCTGTGGAGGCTGCCGTTGAGGAGCAGTGGGTCTGGGATGTGCCCATTGGGGGTGTCCGGGGGCACTGAGGTAGACGTGTCGGTGTCACCATCAAGCTCCATGGGAGTATGGTCCATGTTGGGTTTAATGGTCTTCAGAGGGGGCGGCCCCGAGTCACTGGGCGAGGTGTCGAGCTGCGACAGTGAGGTTAACAGCTCTAATGTTGCCGGAGGTAAAGACTCATCACCCTGTGGCGCACAGGGCTCTGCCGGGGGTTCAGGTAGTGGTTCCTCCATTGACTTGGCGGGGGCCGTGTCAGGCGAGGGTGTTGGGAGGGTCTTTTTCAGGCTCATTTCGCTGCGGACCTCCATAATAGTCTTCTTCAGCAGTTTGAGCCTCTTGCTCCGGGATGGGCTGTGCTTCATGGCTGTGCTGAGGTCCAGCTTCTCCAGCAGCTCCTTCAGCTGATCCTCCAGAGGAGTCAGCTGACGGTAGGAGGGGCTCAGCAGACGGTCCACTGAGAGAGCGAGAGAGAAAGTGTCAACAAGTCAACTGATATTTCCATTTTCATTTGTTACTCTTCAAAAGACAATTCCACTGCTTTCACCTCTGACGCTGACAGTTAAGCTCTCCTCAGTGCTCACAATTTAACTTTCAGTTGCTTTTATGGCTTAGATATTGATGTCAGCTACTTTCATTTGTTACACTTTCAGCTTTTACTCAACGACTTGCAGCTAACCTCTTGACTAATCAATTCACTGCTCAAAAGAAATAAAATAAAATATGCCCAAAACAAGTTGGAAAAACTCTTCTTCAAATGGTTTCTGACCAGCAGTATGTGACAAATGAAAAACAAGTCTTGCAGTGGAGGAACTGGAACATGGTCGTGTTTGGAGATTTTACTGGAGAACTTAAACTGTCAGTCCTGTAACTGATAGACTTTCTGTTTCAACTTACCGTCCTCCCAGGAGAAGGGGGGCGGTGACTCCAATTTTGGGGCTTCGGGCAGATGCAACCCGCTGGGAAAGTCGAAGCCGATTCTGTCAGCCTCTCTGCGGGCCCTGCGGAGGATGACTCCGCCGTGGTCCTGCATCCGCTGAGCTGCCTTGTAGAAAAACGTGTCCTTGGCATTGTACGACATGCAGTTGGCAATGATGAGGTTGAAGTCATCCTCAAACGCCTCCAGGCTCCTGTATTCGTGAGTGTCGATGCGTTTCCTCATGGTGGAGAAGTCCATGGGGTTCTTGATGTGGTCCAGGTAGTCAGGAACCTGCAGGAGACAGATGAGGGACGTTGGAGGCTGCAGAGTGTCTGAGAAGATGGTTTACAGGGATTGACTTCCAGGACATTAATACACATTAATATAAATAAGCAGCTGTGATCGGAGCCCTGCTGCAGGAACACCATCGTGTCCACAGAGGAGTTTTGCTCATTTTCATTACATGAAACTAAACTGGAACAGCTTCTGTTCTACATCTTATCACTTCACCTTGTTTCTCTCATGCCAAAATAAACTGCTTAACAACTAATCAAATGTTAATTTGTTGTACATTGTTACATTGATAGTCCTTTTCGAGGACTTGAAGCTGCATTCATGTATTTACAGGGGTATGCAGTAACCCTGGTTGCTGACTGCTGAGGGATCATGGCAGTGTCACAGTGTTATTGATGGATATCAACAGATAAACACATTTTTGAACAGACTGAGAAATGGTTGCAGACCTCCTTGCTGCTGACGGGCTGAGCGAAGATACTGTACTGGTCTTTTTCCTGCAGCTGACTGAGCACCGCTCTCAGCAGGATGTTGAAGGGTGTCAGCTGGACCTCCAGCACCGACTGCTGCTGCTTCAACTGAGGGGAAGACAAACAGTCAAACAACCGTGTACGGACACTAACCCAAGGTCTCATTATACATGAACAGGATCAGATATGATTGATAGTCACAAGTGTTTGTACTGAAGGTATTTTTTATTTATTTATGTGACTTTATTTGTGTTTCTTTCTGTTTTAAAACTTAAAAAAAGTACAAAATAACTCCAGCATTAGAAGCAGGACGTGTTGAAATGACTCTACCTCTTCCCTCTTCAGCTTCTCTCTCTTCCTGATGAGCTCCAGCAGGAGACGAGCTCGCTCCAGGTCGTGGCGGAGGCGGTGCCACTCCTTCAGCTGCTCCTTCAGCGCCTGGTTCGTCTCCGCGCGGTCCTGCACACAACACGCAAAGTTCATTTCAGTGACAACTACATGAAAGGTTAACGCTTCAGTCAGAAAACGTGTCGGCAGCACTGACCATCTGCTTGGCTTTGGGTGGCTGAGGGTTGGCCTGTAGCCGGCGGATCAGTGGCACATTGTTCCTCGACTGCCTCTTCTGCACCCAGTAGCTCAGCACCCGCTCAACGAAGTGACGCTTCCTCTGAACCGCCACCTGGTTCAGGATGGTGTCAAAGCTGACCCACAGGAAAACAGAGGGAGAGATTAATCAATAAAAACTCACAATTTGTTTCATTTACTGATGCAGAAACACGACCAACCAGCTTTACATTTTATGTCTTTATACCATTGTAACAGTTTGTGATCAGCAATCTCTCTGATCGCCTGACTGCTCGTGTTTCTTAACCCATCAGACTGTTTTTGTTTGGGCTTTTATTGCCTTTATATAATAGAGACAGCTGAAGACAGACAGGAGAGGGCCGCAGGTCATTCGAACACTGGGCCGCTGCAGCAAGGACTCAGCCGCGGTACGTAGGTCACCAGCTCTACCCACTGAGCTAACCGGGCGCCCAACCCATCAGACTATAAATATTAACTTGTAAGTACAATGTTGTTATTAATCACTGACAGAAAAACGATCGGAAACAACTGAACTGCAGCAATAACCGATCAGGACTGCTGATTATTAGATCTCCTTAAAAAACATTTTTTGTGTCACCCATCCAGTATTTTCTATTTCCAGGTTTGAATTGTATCTGTGGATCTTAAGACGCACTGCTCCAGATGTTCTGTACATATTTAATCAGTTATTATCTCAAGTACAATTTGACTCCTGAAACTCACAACATGAGTACTGATGAATCATTAATGTGAGAGATGCATTCTGGGGGTCCTGGTTGCCTGCCTACCTTGAAGCGGTGATACTGGGGCCAGAGTTGGTGGGGGTCTCAGGTTCTGGTTCTGGTTCGGGCTCCGCTCTCTTACTCTTCTTCTTCTGCCAGCTCTTGGCCCGGGCCTTCCCCCTCTTGTCAGCCCTTTTCTGACAGGCTCCGTTCGTCGGGTGCGGCTCCTCGTAGATGTTGAGCGGCCGGCGGTCGCAGCCTTCGGGTGTGTGGCTGCAGCAGAAGGCCGTCTTTTTCACAGAGAAGGTGGCGGCGCCAGAAGCCGTCACCTCTTTCACAGGTTCCATCTTCATGTAGAGACCGGCCTTTTGGGCGCAGCTGACATGAAAGGCGGTGTAACAGTACATCTTATCACACTGGATGCACGCTCCCGCACCCTTCTCTTTACACAGGTAACATGTGAGCTTCCAGCGAGCTGGCGGGATGTTGCGAACGCCATCGATGGGCTCGATAAAAACAGTGTCAGAGAAGCCGACCTCAGGCACCCACAGAGCACACGCTACATGACCCCAGCGATCGTCGTCGGTCTTCTTCAGGGCACCGCCTCGGTTGGGACAGAAGACGCACTCCGCAGGCCGTGACGGGCACTGCAGACAGTGTCTGCACAGCCACTGGCCCTCTGGGATGTACGGCACCCCGTAGCACTCCTGGTGCACGGCAATGTTGCAAGAGTCACAGAAGAGGATAACGTTACTGTCGGCTCCGTCTCCATCCATGCAGATGCAGCAGACGGCGTCCTCATCCACCAGCGACTGCAGGTCGCTCTGACCCTGCGTGGCAGAGTACGACTCCTTTTCGAAGCGGTCCATGAGGAACTCAAACAGATTGTGCGACACCTGGCTGATGCCCTCGCTCTTCCTCTTCTCGTTGATTAGCTCTAGCCAGGCGTAGTCCTCCTCGTCCATATCGTACTCCACCTCCTCGTCCAGTTCCTCCTCTGTCCTCTCTGTGTATTTGTAATACGCCACCGGCCTCTTTGGGACCACCGGCAGATTGTATTCAACCGTTCTAACCTTTGGCTCCAGCAGGCCTCCGGTACTGCCCTGCGTGCCAGTGCCGCCGTTGGAGGCGGTGCGCGCTGCATTCTTCTTCTGCTGGTTGTTTTTGAGGCGCACAGAGCGCACCAGGACCTGCTGGGGCTTCTCGTTATTCTCCTTGTTGCTGTTGCACTCCATGATCTCCTGAGCTGTGGGGTCGTCGTCTGTGATGACGTCCAGCTTGTCGTAGATGCTGAGCCGGTGCACGCGGCCGTCCACCTCCAGCTCCACTATCCGCTGAGCCTGTGCATATGTCAGCGTCTCCCTGTTGGGCGACGGCTTGATGGGTGAAGAGTCCCGCTTCAGAACCGCCGGACGCTGTTGTCGACCCTTTTTCTTCATTTTGAAGCCGTAAAGACCTTAACGACAAAACACACGAAACAACAGTGTCAGTAATTTGCCGATGTAATGAGAACAACATTAAAACAACGCTGTTTCTATTACGTCTTTATTTCACCATGTGAAGCAGCAGCGAGCACACAGAGCAGTACGTGTTGGATCTCACAGCACAGAACTGTAACCCTCAATTCTGCCTTACAGGAATAAGTAAAACATGGAACATAAAACTTTTAGTCACAGTGTTTTTATACTTTTTCTGTGGGTCCATTTGAGGACTACAACAATTTCTACTTGTCTACACCACAGATGCTTTTTTTTTTTAACTGATAGAAACTTCTATCAGAAGTCTGACAAAGCAGACCTCATTACAAAGTCTCGTCTTGTTTCAGAAGTCACTCCTGAATACTTGGCAACATCTATTTGGTGATGCTGGTTATGTCCTGACTACATTAGGGATGTGTGTTTGATTCCTGATATTCGGTACCAATACCAAACTTTTTCCAACACTTACTGCTTTCCTGATTATTGAGTGACTAGTAAAATTAGTTAATTTTGCACCCTGAAGGTTTGTTATTAAAGTGTCAACTTAAATATCAAAATCCAGTCCTCTACATACCATTAGAAA